TTAAAAAGAAGACAGAGTTGCTTTTAGAACTACGATTTTATTCAGACACTGGAATAGTGGAGATACATAGGATTACTCTCCAAGGGAGTAAATACAGGAAACATTCTTCAGAATAAAAAGCAGTAATAAATGAATATGGAATAGTCAGAGAAAGATTAATCAAGAATAAAGCACTCTAGGGGCAGTTACTCACTCTAGGAGGTGAGGGGCATGATAAACAATTAAGGGTTTGCTGCTTTTCTCCATTCTCAAATAGTACCTGCTGAATTCTCTTTTACTAGACATATCTTAATTGTAAAACAACGTGGCTATGTTTCTTTCTATTTCCAGCACCTAGCTTGATGTCAGAATATATAGCAATAGTGTAAGATCTGCTAATGGACTAAATGGTTCTCCATGACATTCAAGTCTTTGTGCTATTTTCTTGGTCCACATGTTGTCTCTCTCTGGATGTTCCTCCCCATGACACTTACAAACTCCCTCTCTTTCTTCAAATCTCAGTCTCTTAATAAGGTCTATGCTGATTACATCTTTAAAAAGTGCATCTCATTCCTCACCCGAATCTAGTATTTACTAGGCTGGCAGAGTGGTTCCTAGCAGGTGCGAGGCCCCAAGTTCAAACCCCAGTACTGCCAAAAAAAAAAAAAAAAAAAAAATCACCAATCTAGTACTACTTTTTTCCCATATTCCTTCTATATGCTTTTCCATAAATCCTCTCCATAAGCAAAAAACACTTTCCATAAAAATAGTTTGCTGAGCAATGATGTGTCCTTCCACTAGAATGTAAGTTCCTTCTGCTAGAATGTAAGTTCCCCCTGGGCAGGGAACTCACTGGTATCTGTTTTACCCAAGCATCCAGAAGAGTGCCATGCCCCAAGCAGAAACTCAGTAAAGGCTTGCTGGATGAGTGAGCAGATGAATCACAGTAGAGCCAGACGGTGAGAGTCTGCCTAGAGTGGTGATACTTTTTCAGCACTTGGAGGATCTGAGGATATTTCAAATTCAAATACTAGAAAAATCCAGAGGAGGAAGATAAAGATGATAATAAACAAGCCATTGTCATTGGTATGTCATTGGTATAACTGAACACTCAGACAAAGGTAGCCTTTCTGCAGGAAAGGGCACAGGTAGTGAAGAATAACGGACATATCCATATGGGAAAGACCTGATGATCTTAATTTTTCCTTTAAGTAGAATGGAATATCAACCCCCCTAAAAGAAGTGGGGATTTCAGCTAAGAAATACAAGTCTAAAGTAGCTTTTTAATTTCGCATACAAAAGAGAAGAAATGAAGCCTGACACAGAATACCTATAACTCCGGCTACTTGGGAAGCTGAGGCAGGAGAATCACTTGAGCTCAGGAGTTTGGGCGACGCTGTTACATAACAAAACTCATTCCCACCAAAAACAAAAACACCAATTATTTATCTTTCTGATGACTTAAAGATAAAGACAGAGCTTAAAGGGAAACTGACTTCGTTTTGATATATCACTTCTCAGAATATTTCCTAAGAAAAATCCACTTTGGAACATTAGATAGGCATCATTATTGATGTTTGCAATACGGTAATCATGTAAGTAGGTGATGACTCTGACTACAGAAAATAATGAAATTACTCTTTTCACTAAGATAGGGATGGAGGGGTAGGCACCAGTGGATCACATCCGTAATCCTAGTTACTCAGGAGGCAGAGATTTGGAGGATCGCAGTTCGAAGCCAGCCCAGGCAAATAGTTTCACAAGACCCTATCTGGAAAATACTCATCATAAAAAAGGGCTGGTGGAGTGGTTCAAGGTGTAGGCCCTGAGTACAAGCCCAATACCACACACACAAAAACAGGATAGAGGGCTTTGACAAGGGAGAGTTAAATACAAGCTTTACTAAGAAAGTAGCAGTATTTTTAATAAAGTAACAGTTCAACAAACTGAAACTGAAAGTAACTTGATAATCATAACAAGTAATGTCACTTCAAAAAAAAGTTTCTGTAGCTGGTGGAATGGCTCAAGCAGTAGAGTACCTGTCTAGCAAGTGCAAAGCCCTGAGTTCAAGCCCAAGTACTACAAAAAAAAATATAAAAAAAGTTTTTATAGAGTCATTCTTCTCGATATGTTTTCTGTTTTTCTTCTGTTATGAATTTAGAGAAATCACAAGAGAAACTCCAAATGTTCTCCCTGCAAAATAGTCACTAAGTTGCTACAAGAATAGCTACCACTGACTGAGGGCCCCAGAAAACAAGTAACCACAGGATAGAGTGCATACTAGAGGTTTTATTATTGCCATTTTACAGATAAACAGAGATCCAAAGAAACTAAGTCATTTTTGTTTATTAACTAAATGGCAATATTGCGACTTGAATCCAGGTCACCTGGATGCTGAAACCTATTTTCCAAGGAAAACCCTGCTTCTCTATGCATCATACTAATGCATTACGTTTGTAAATTATTTTAAATGGGATAAACATATGTTCAGAACAATTTCAAGTGAAGACTCATCAAGGAAAAAATCAACTGTATTTTAAGCTACACATACAGTATAAGTTTAGGTAAGACTATTGCTCTGACACAGCATATCACAATAAAACGATACCTTTGAGCAAGCACTGTGGTTCACAACTGTAATCCTAGATACTGGGGAGGAGATTGGGAAGATCACTGTTCAAGGTAGTCCTGGCAAAAAGTTTGAGAGCCCCAATCTCAACCAATAGAAAACCTGGGCGGCATCCCAGCTACATGGAAAGCATAAACAAGAGGACTCCAGTCCAGGCTGCCCCTGGTCATAAACTCAAGATGATACTTGAAAAATAACTAAAGCAGAAAGGGCTAGGGGCATGGCTCAAGTAGTATAGCACAAAACCTTTGATCAAGAGCAAAGGTTTTCAGTGGCAAAACCAAATTTCTGAAATAAGTAAGACCCACTGGAATTTAAAAAGCTAGAACAATCTTAGGTAGACACTACTTGAGGAAGTATAAATATTTATCAATTAAAAATATATTGTACAGATTCCATGCTGGCAGCTTAGAGGGAGGAAGCAGAAAGTGTGCCTCCAAAAGTGAAATCTTGGAGAGACGCTGGAGACACACCTTACAGTAAAAACCATCGAGAAGAGGCAAAACTTTGGCTCCTTCACACCTTCAGCCTGCACAGAGCATCTCTACTTCATGTTAAATGGAGAAACCAGGAGGGCTCCCATGCCACAGCCAGACGCCCACGCCCAGATTGCTTGGGAAGACAAGGACCACAAGGTGAGCTAAGGAGCATGTGGTACTCCCACAGACAACCCTGGGCCAGATCAGCATAGCCCCCTGTACAGACCAACCACCATCCAGGGGAAAAAGAGACACTGAATAATAAGCAATAACAACAAAAAAGACATGTAACAAAGAGGGCGGGGTGCCCTGAGTGCCGAAGGGGGTGAGGGGAATCCCACATGGATCTGCAAATAAACAAGCCGGGCTGGAGAAGGCAGGAGTGGCGGCACACGCCCAGCAACCAGGAGCAGGAAAGCTTGTAAAAGTGGTGGTGGGAGGAAAACTCCACAGGAGAGGGGGAAGACCCACTTCCCATGGGAACTGTAAATAAACACGCTGCCTGAGAAAGCTGGTGGCACTCTGTCACTTCCCCAGTGTGCTTGGGAAAGGGAGAAAGCTTGTAGCATGTCTTCATGCACAGGAGAAACTCTGAGCAAAACGAAGCCTTGAGGGGCCAGGTGAGTGTTAAGTTGCCACTCCCTGCGATCTGCATCCAAATAAAGTCCAGCAACAGCCAGGCTGACAGAGCGGCAGATGAGCCACAGCCACAGATAGCCATTCATAGACCTGTCCTCCCAGACTCTTTTTTTTCTTTCTTCCTTTTGATGACGACCAACAATTTGGAACGTCACCTGCCATGCTGAAAAACTTATGAAACTGGTAACTGATTTGAACTTGGGACACTTGTCCGGTGTTTTTTTTTGTTTTGGTGTTATTTTTGTTTGTTTTGTTTTTTCCCCCTTGATTGAGACAACACAGAATTACTTCTGAGTCACCATACTTCCAGTGATTTGGAGACTGATGACTAACACCAAAATTATTAAGGAACTGAAATTTTATTGCATTGACTTGAAGATTTTTTTTCATTTATTTATTTATTCATTTTTTTCAGTCCTCTCTCTGTCTCTCTAATGCCTGTTCAGCTTACTATTGATTAGTTACACTATCTCCTCCTGTTTAATATCTTTGCAAACTTTTTTTGGTTTGCCTTTCTTTTGTTTTTATCTAACTTGTTTGTTTTTCCCTTTTCTTTAACTTCTTGCTGTCCTCTTACTCTCCCTTCCATTCTAAATATCACATTGTATTTATTACAAGCCTAATACGTAATTGCACACAGTACAGGGACAATAACACCACAGGGCAATGAACAGAAAGAGAGAAAACAGGGAAAACCAGTTTCCCCACAGCAAAAAATTAGTAAAAGGAACCAAGGGAAAATGAAGAAAACAGATACTCAGATCCAGACTCCAAAAAATAAAGACAACACTATGCAAAGAACCCCAATTGAAGCCCACAAGAATCAATCTAAAGAAAATACTACAGGTAATCATATGAGAATTTTATAGAGATGATACTGGATATGGTCAACAAACAATGTACAGCGAGACACAGGCAAGAAATTCCAAGACAACAAAAATACAGAATTTTGAAAAGGCAAAAGAAGAAATAAAGGAAACCATAGAAGCACTGTAAAACACCAAAGTGAAACAAAGAACATGATTAATAAAGAGATAAATGACTCAGGACCAAAAATAACAACATTGAAGAGGAAATGACTCAGTGTATATGAAAACCTCAGAAAAAAAGAACGAAACGAACTGTAAACACAAACAGAGGTCAATCCAGCAGAATAGAACAAACAGA